CAATAATGTGAATGACTCAAATGGAACCACAAATCACTAAAACAATTGGAAGACTTGAGAGAGAGTATCTTTACACACAAAAATCGGTTATGCTCTTACACACACACACACACTAGTGCCGATTTTGTTAGCTAGAGGAGTTCTTATATATTGTGACACAATTAGGGTTACACCATGAAAACCCTAATGTGCATGAATTTCCACATTCCTTAGGCTCCATGGATTTTAACCTCCATGGAGTATCCATCGGTTTTAACCTCCACAGAGTATCCATGGGTCACCACATGGGTTTATCCCAACATAAAGAACTATGGATCATAAGCCCACTTTATAAGAATGAATGATTTACACAATCAATCCCCATATATTTAATTAGTCTCGTTTGATCACAAAATTAATTCCAAATTAATTCTTGATCAATAATAATTTAAATAATATGATTTCATATTAATTTATTAGAACTTATAATATATTAATAAATCATAAATATCCTTTTCTCAAAAGTCCATCCTACAAATTATTCCGGTGAAATGCAACCCAAATGGACCATGCTAAATTGGGTCAAGTACATACCAAATATAGTTATGGAATTAGACACCATATCTAACAGCTGAACCGTGAAGGTTTAAGAGGAACAACCCTAACCAAGAGGTATGAGAGGAATGGATGCAAGTACAAGGACTTCATGGCTTCCAAATCGTTGAGTCTTTCTAGGAGCCCCAAACCAATGGAAATCATGGATTAGATCTTCGATATGCAGATGGTGTTTGATAGTTGCGACTGCAACAACTGACAAAATACCATTTTAGCTATCATATAACTAAAGACTGGAGTATTAACTTGGTGGAAGTTGTTGGTTGATTTCATGCTAAAGGGTGAAGCAAGGAAGATGTATTAGGAGGACTTCCTAGAGGAGTTAAAGAGGCAATACTGCTCTGAGCTAGATCTTATGGAGATCAATAATAAATTCCAAAAATTAAAGAAAGGAAATATGGGTGTCAACGAGTATGCTATGAATCATGGAGACATGAAGCAGACAAACATTCCTGGGGCTTGCCCCAGCATCGGACCGAAGTCCGGAAACATATAATCTAAATTGGGCCAACCCCGACATCGAACCTTAGTCCGGCATAAGCTAACATACATAAACCAGCCAACATTGGTGCCTTCGACCCGTTCCTACTAGAGGAAAACTCACCTCTCAAGCTGGCTGTTGAAATCTCAAGTGAAGAATCTTTGATGGTTGCTCCAATGACACACCGGCTATAATTTTCACAATAAACACTTGATCAAACTGAGAACCCTTCTAAGGATAAAGTGACCATTTTACCCCTGGACAAAGTCAACATTCAGGTCAAAGTCAACATTTTGGGTTGACCCGACTCGCCGAGTTGCTGCATCAACTCGCCGAGTCCTAAAACCCTGAAATCACAATCTAACTCGTCGAGTCACCCCCTGACTCGCTGAGTTCCCTAACTACCCATAGTCCCGATTTGGCGAATCAACTCCGAGTCCCTTCACAGACTTATCAAGTTCTACCTTAAGATGAAACGGGACAATACGACCCAACTCGTCGAGTTCCTCTATGGACTCGACGAGTTCCCATGTCTGTTTGGGCCTCCTTAAGGGTTCAGCCCCTACTCTTCAGATCTAGGCTTCTTACTTCATCTACACAGTGGAAATGCCCTTTTAAGGGTAAAGTTTCCAACTTTACCCACTAATAATCCTTCTTAGTGGGTTTAGCCAAAACCCAAGTTCTTTAGGACATAGATATTCGTCCAAAAGCCTTATTAATATAACCCAAAGCATGAAAACCTAGATCTAGGTCCTAAACATCCAATGAACACGTAAAGTCTCGGACTTTACTTCCATGCATGGCCTTTTAGGGCTTAAAATGCCATAAAATTTCCTTAAGCTTGCATGGGGCTTCCATGGTCATAAAGTTTGCACCTTTATGCCATGAAACCCCTTCTAGATCCCATATATGAAAGGTAAACCACTTGGGACGTCCATGTCCTAAAGATCCAGATTCTTAAACCAAAACCCCTATAAATGGACATAAGAAGATCTAATGAACTAATAGCCAAGTTGGAGACTTGATTACCAGGAAATGATGAGGATAGAAGGAAGTTTTTGGATCTATTACCTTCTCCTTGAGCCTTCTAACTCCTTCTCCTTCAAGCTTCAAGAACACACAAGATTACACAAAAATGGCTCACACACTCACAAAATGCTCTAGGGTTTCGTGGATTAGGGTTTTGGGACTTGGAGGGTGGAAATGAGACCATATGGTGGGGATTAATTTAGTTAAATAGGGTGCAACACCTCGAAATTAGGGTTTCACTCTGGCAGACCTACTCGCCGAGTTGAGGGATCTCAACTCATCGAATAGATGGCTTAAAACCCTGCATCCAATCTCGTTTCTACTCGACGAGTCTGGGGTTCCCAACTCGTCGAGTAGCTCTACAAAAATAACAAATTACAATTAAATACGTACCAGGAATGAGACATTACAAATGGATATTTCAAAGTATATCAGGGGTTGTTTCACTGATTTGTTTTATTTAACTCCAATATTATTTTGACATTTTTTTTTGTAAATAAGAATCTAATGAACCAAAATGACATTAAAAGGAACACATATATTCTAGAGCTTTGTGTTACTATAAGAGAGTAATTGTTTTCTTCGACTATGGTACTTGTCTCTCTTTTTTTTTTTGTAAAATTTGAGTTTGGTGATTCAAACATATTTATTGGAAGAGTGGAGGAGGAATGCATAGAAAGTTATCTTGGGTTTATTGTTACTCTTTATCGGTTATTATTAATGGATTTTTTTTTCATTTTTTTCTTTATGCTATTTTCATTTTCGAATACAAAGCTATATGCACATTCCAATACGAGATTATTAAGTTGATGCAAAATTCAATTATAAGTTGTATTTGATTGGTATTTTCTTTAAGAAAAAAAAAAAACTAAGGTTTAATTTGACTAAGTGGTTCGAGAATTACATTTTATTGATGATTGTTATTTTCTGATTAAGTCTATCACATTTATAGCTTTATTCTCTTAGAATGCATGGAAATGTTTAATATTTGAAAATTGATTATATTTTCTTTATGGATTTAGTATTTAAAGAAGCAACTATTGATGTGGAAAATAAAGAAAAAAACATTCTGTCAAATATATAAAACGTTTTTAGCAATAACATTCTTTAAGAATAAATTATTGTTTTTGTTAGATTTTGATTTTTTTTTTCTTTTTTAATTAATCATACTTAGTTTTAATCTTTAAGAATAAATACAATTGTTAATTATTATTAGTCATATTTTTTTTCTAAAATGAATGTAATAATTGTTTATAATTTTTTTTAAGAATTAATTTAATTAGTGATTCTTAAAGAATAAAATTCATTTTATATAAAGGTTATATCATTTAGTACATGTTATTCTTGATAATATGTTGTATAATTCTTTAAGCATGCTAATTATCAAAAAGATCATGAATGCGACCATATTTAGTAAGAATAAAATCGAAAATAAATTTACTAGTTTATGAATAACATTCTGACATTCTAACAAAATAAAATCGGTTATTATTAAAGTTATCTTAGAATTAAAATTGAATTAAATTAAAATATTCAAAATTTTAAAATTAAGAGAACTAGTTATCCCTTAAAATCCGAAATTTTCTTTTTTAAATATAGTTTAATTGATAAAAATACCATTATCCTGGAATTCATATGATTATATGGTACATGTTATCCTATTATAATATCATAGATTTTCTTTACGACAATACAATACATATCATCTGCATTATATATATATATATATATATATATATATATATATATATATATATATATATATATTGCAATTTAGTCCTAAATACCAGTAAATGTAATCAAAAAGGGATATTTAATGGGTTAGCCGGTATCCCACCGGTACTATGCGCATGTGGCACCTTACGTGTACAAGAGAGTTTTACCCTTCCATTTCCACTGCATTCGACATCTGGTAAATCAATTGAGAGAAAAAGTTAGGGTTTTTACAAAGTGAAACACGAAGGAAGTAGGGTTTTACTGAGAGAAACGAAGGTAAAACCTAATGGTTGTCAAATCAGAGAAATTTCACCATAAGTCATCTGAAGAATACGACTCTGAAGAATACGAAGATGATGAGGAGGTAGCTTGATACTGAGCACATAGATGTGGAAATGGAAGAAGATGATTTCAAGACACAGGGTAAAGAGAGATGCAAGGATGCTTTCCTTAACTTCAGTTCCGATTATGAACATAATGAAGCCGATGAAAATAATGAATTAGTTGATGAAGAAGGGTTTGGTTCAGAAGAGGAAACCGATGACATAGCAGGGGCTAATGATCTTGATTCGGTAGATGCGGTTGGTGCAGGCTTCCACATTCATGACCCATCAATTAAGTGGAATAAGATGAAGCCCCTTCTTGGTGAAAGGTATGAATCACCACATCAGTTGCAACAATGTCTCACTAATTATGCTATTAAGTCAGGGTATAACATTAAATTTGTGAAGTGTGACACTTGAGATTAACTGCCAAATGTGGTTCTAAGATGAAGTCTCAACCCTGTCCATTCAGAGTTCATGCTTCCTAAATGACTCAAGAAAGGTATTTTCAGATTAAAACCTTAGTCGATGAGCACAAATGTGTTAGAAATTTCAATATTTCAAATTTATTGAGTCCCAATTGGCTAGCAAGACACTTTTTGAAGGATTTGATAATGAAACCTAACTTGAAGTGTAAGGAGATGCAATCAATAATTAGGACCAAATTTCATTGTGGTGTGTCTTGGTCTAAGGCTTACAAAACAAGGTGTAGAGTAATGACCACTATAGATGGTAAACTCACAGAACATTATGCTAGGGTGTAGGAGTATTGTCATGAGTTACTAAGGTCAAATCCTAGTAGCACTATCTAAGTGGGTGTCACTGTAAATCCAGATCAAACAACATACTTTCACAGGATGTATTTGTGTTTTAAAGCAATCAAGGAAGGTTGGAAAATAGGGTGTTGTAGGGTAATTGGTCTAGATGGATCTTTCTTGAAATGGACATATAAAGGAGAATTACTCACAGCAATAGGGAGGGATGCAAACAACCAAGTTTATCCAATTGCTTGGGCAGTTGTTGTCATTGAAAATAAAGCTAATTGGAAATGGTTTCTGGAAATGCTCACAGAGGATCTTAATCTGCTAGATAGAGGAGGGTTTACTATAATTTCTTATCAACATAAGGTTTGTAATTTCTTAGCATATTTATGATTTTTCCTTACCATCATCTTATATGTTTATGTATTCATTACATTGTAAGGATTGCTTGAAGCAAACAAGGAAGTACTACCAAATGTGGAGTATAGACAGTGTGCAAGACACATATATGCTAACTTTAGGAAGACCTATTATGGAGTGGAGTTCAAGAATATGTTCTGGGCAGCTTCCTTTTCAACTGTAGAGAGTGAATTTCTGAGGAAATGGATGATATAAAAGAGGTTAATCCCAATGCATATGAATATTTGCTTGCATGACATCCTCACACATGGTGCAGGGTATTTTTTAGCACTGATGTAGCATGTGGGGTAGTTGAAAATGGCATTGCAGAGTGCTTCAACGCCATCATATTGGATGCTAGAAAGAAACCCATTCTAGCAATGCTTGAAGATATTAGGTTGTACATGATGGATAGGTTCTACCATACGTTACAAAAGGTAGAAAAGTGGGAATCAGTGGTTTGTCCAACTGCTATCAAGAAAATGAACAAGTTTGGAGAGGATTTGAGGTTTTTCTTAGCATTTTTATTGTTCCTTATCATCATTATTCTAATTTCATTGTTCTGATTTCATATAGTAATGCCATTATAGGAATTGGAATGTGAATCTAAATGGACCATCTATTTTTGAAGCCATGAATGGATTAGAAGGGTACGTGGTTGACTTACAGGGCATAGTGTGCAATATTATTCACTGGACAAGATCATGTTCAATTCATAAGTGAGTGCTTTAACATGGACAGGTTTAAGGCCATATATGAAAACAATATACTACATGTGAATGGTAGAAATGTATGGCCTAGAACATCATACACAAAGCCTCTAACCCCTTTAGCTAGAAGAATTCTAGGGAGACCAACTCTAAAAAGAAAGAGGTATGTCACTGAATCTCAAGACAAATACTCCTAAAATAAGATGAAGGTTACTGGAATAGGAAGGACAGTCTAATGCAAAAATTGTCTTCAAAGGGGTCATAACAAGGCATCATGTAAGAATCCCAAGGTCACACCAGAACCCAAACCCATGAAAAAAATGGGTAGACCAAGATTGGATCCTGATATCATTCATTGAACTAGAGGTGGTGTCAGAGGTAGTAGAGGTGGTGCAATGGGTAGTAGAGGTGGTATATGGGGTAAGAGAGGTGGTGCAGCAGGTAACACAGGTGGTGCAGATGCAAAGGGTAACAGAGGTGGTACAAGTAGTAAAAGAGGTGGTAGGGGCAGTAAAACATCTGTTGGAATTGAAAGTAGTGGAGTGGCTGAAGTTGAAGGTGGTGGAGTTGAAAATGAGGATGCCACTATTCCTGAAAAATAATTAGTCCATTTATGGAAGACAATGCAAGATTTGAAACTATCAAGGTATTCACTTGAAGAAATTAAAAATACACTTAATCTGATAGATTCACATACGAAACAGCTCAATGATTACAATGACATTATTGATCAAGTTCTTCCTATGTCTATGGTAAACCCTCTATATTACCTTAATGTTAACATTCATATGTGTTATTAATTGCTTGATGTTATTAATTGCTTGATGTTTTACAGGAAGAGGAGTATCCACCTCAGACCGAGACACAAGATGGGGCTGAAGAAATTATCCCTCAGACACAACCAAAAAGTGAAGAAGAAGAAGAAGAAGAAGAAGGCATTAATGACACCCAGGAATTACCAATACACCTTAGGATTGTGAAAAGAATAAGGCCCTCTGAGAGGATTGTTAAAACCAAGCTGAAGAAGATGGGATGTGTTGGGACTTCTACAAATTCAGCATTGGAGTTGGATTAGGGTGTTAGGGTAGTAAGGGTATTATGGTACATCTTTTGTGAATGCTACTTTTGTGCATCTTTTGTGAATGCTACTTTTGTACATCTTTTTTGAATGCCCTTAAATTACTGATAGCCATATTTTGTACATCTTTTGTAAACACACTGAAACATTGTGAATGCCCTTAACATGGTTGGTAATGACATATTGGAGTTTGTTGTTTAATTATTTTAGCCACAAGTGTGCATACTTCATGGTTATATTTATCAAGTGTACACTATTTATGCAAACCATAATAACATATTGCCATTTCATTAACCAAAACATTACATGATGCACAAGAACATATATCCATTACATCATGATAACAAACCAAAAGATTGCATCATCCCTACCATACATAATACCCTACAACTTACACTAAACTAACCATACATCATCCCTACAATTAAACAAACGAAACAAACCATCATCCACTTGCAAAATCCAAATTCATTACCAAGCACATGTGTATTCTCACGCATTGCAATTTGATTATCAGGTTCAAGAGCATTTACAAGGGCAATAGGGACATCAACATTCACTGGGGCAATAGGGCTATCAACAGGTATTTCACCTTCATTAATAGGGTTATTGAAAGGAATAGCTACACCCCCATTAGCAACAGCTCCTAATTCATACATTCTTTCTCTATACCACTTATTCAATTGTGGTGGGTCAATCCAAGGAAAATACCCACAGTCCTTCTCCTCATCCTACATGACATAGAAAGATGCATGTTTTTAACATAGAAGAATGGTAATTTAGTGAAATAGAAGAATCTGAGTGAGATTTGAATATTCTATACCATGTAATTTGGGCAACCAAAAAACCTCCGAACTAGATTCTTTCGAGTCCATGATGTCCACATTCCATCCATATCTCCACAATAGCACATTCTGATGTTGGTGCTTGACGAACTCGACATCGATTTCCTGTTTCCAATTTGCCCTAATTGTTCGCTCCTTTGACAATCGAATGAAGAAGAAGAGCTCGATTCATTGATTTAGCCCTCTTAAATGGCACGTAGGATGTTATTTAACATGATGAATTCCACGTAAGCTACCACATCAGTTAGATACCGGTTAACCCATTAAATATCCCATTTTGATTACGTTTACCGGTATTTAGGACTAAATTGCAAATATATATATATATATATATATATATATATATATATATATATATATATATATATATATATATATATATATATATATATATATATTATATATATTCTAGTTGGTCTTATTTGCTTCTATTTATCATCATAATTATAATAAGATCACATGAACACATAGGTTTTCTTGGACTATAAGTTGTCTCCTCATTATGCCCATCACTCTAGCATTCCTTTGATCACATGTGGAATTGTGGACCCTTTATAACTTTATGATCCTTTCGAGAAGCCATAAACAACTAAAAAAATGCTGCAAAATTAAATCATTTTACGGTTTAATCGTAAGAAACGAATAAATTAGTATCTAAGAATAATTTAAAGTGACAAGGATGGTTGTGTCTATGCTCTCATCGACAAAGAGACCAAGACTAGTGGTTCAAATACATAATTGATGTGTTACAAAAACTTTGTTGGGCCACCAACTCCAATTTGATCTTATTAAGTACGTAATTTCAAAGCATATAATTATTATTGACAACGTTTTGTCTCTTGTTTGCTCATGAAACTATTAGGCCGATACTTAAGTGGTAAGGATGGTTGTGTTTTTGCTCCCCTCGACAAAGAGACCAAAACTTGTGATTTGTTTTTTTATAATTATAATTAAGATTGGTTTTGTCTCTTGGTGTTCTATGGACTAGAAAAATGCATATTTGTTTTAGAAACAACCACATATAATTTGTAGGTGGCATGTAGTTTGATGATAAAATATTTTCTGTAAATAGTTGAGAAAAAACCATATTCATAAATCAGAAATGCCACTTGGTTGGCTATAACTTATAAGGAAGGGAATGAGAGAATTTTGATATTATATGGGCCTTGAATTGAAGACTCGATCACCAGACCCGTTTCCTCCTCAGCCGGCGTTAATTTGGACCAGACCCATGTTTCTGGACAAGAAGGGGACGCGAAGCCTTTTAGAAAGTCGAATGGATAATCCTTCAATATTTAAATGTCAAGTGGGTTATCAGGAATTGATTTTATAGATTAGTTCGGATTAAATGATTAATGGTTTTGGATCTTGTAATAACTATTATTTGAATTATTTTTTAATTATCAAATGTTATTATATATATATATATATATATATATATATATATATATATATATATATATATATATATATTGCACCAATTTATTACTTAGATGGTTTTTATTTTTTGTTAATTGTCGTATTTGTTAAACTAAAAAATAGTTTATAAGTTAGTTTTATAAAGAAGATGAAATGTGTTTCATTGTGCGATAGTTGCATATGTGATGTATCTTATGTGGATTAATCAACTTATTAAGTAGAAGACTTCTACTTTGATTAGCATTTATTTTTAAATGGAAAAACCATTCTAATTGTTCGGTAGTTAGTTTTTGGGATCTTTTAGCTTTTAGTTTTTAATAAAGAAAATTGAATTAAAGAAAAAAACCTCATTGATAATACTAGCTTAAAGTTTTAATTTTCAACAAAAAAAAAAAAAAAAAAAAAAAAAAAAAAAAAAAATCAAATCCAAAAGTTCAAATAGCTTTATTTTATATTTTGTATATTAACTGAATTATCTCTTACAAAATAAATCCATATTTTATCATTAAACGTCTATTATTTTTTTGCTTTCTACCATGAATAAATTAAAAATGTTCTTTCATAAGTTTAGCCACTAAGGAAAAACACTATTAAAAGTGAAACATTCTTCACATGGGTGGTACTGTTGACTATAGTCACATGTGTATAATATAATTCGGTTATTTGGTGGGATATTAAAAGGTTAATATATTTTTTAATTTATATATATTTGGTAAGTGAGGTTTTTTCTTTCGGTTCACATTTAACCTTTCAACTTGTTAAACCGTACACATTCAATCTTTATGATTGGTTACTCCAGATTAATCGGTATATTTCTCATTTTGTACACATTTAATCTTTAATATTTTTGTACATATTTAGTATTTGATATTTTTATACACATTTAGTTCTTAATATTTTTTTATTTCAAAATAAGTCATTTTTGTTTTTGTACTCATTCAGTACTTATGAATGATTTATTTAGGTTTTTCTACCGACATTTTACGCGAGACAATCGTTGATGATGTGTTTGAGACTGCTAATGCTTATGTCCATCGCGATCACGACTGTTTGGTTACGTAGGTCTTGTAGTTTGGCTTAGGTCTTCTGTTCTGAACGTCGTAACTTCTCCATCCGATATCAGATCTAACGATCTTTATATGCACATGCTCGGTTTTTAAGTCTACTACAACTTTCGTTAAGACTACTCCCACTAAAATATAATATATTTTTACTTATTATTTTATTAAAAAAAACATCCATACATGCATTCATAAAAAACGTATAAATATAAGATCATAAATAAAAATATATTCTTAACGGAAGTGATCTAAACGAAAGTTGTAGTAGACTAAAATACGAATGTATGATTAAAAAAATCATTAAAATCCAAGATCATATGCAGTTATGACTTTCAGAATACATGACCTAAGCAACCAAGTAATCGAGATCGTCATGAACATAAGCATCAAAAACCCAAACATCTCATTAATGACCGTCCCATGTAAGATGTCGTAAGAAAAACCTAAAGAAATCATTCATAAAAACCAAATGGGTACAAAAAACTAAAATGATTTATTTTGCAACAAAAAAAATATTAAAGCTGAAATGACCGAACGTGTACAGTTTAACAAGTTAAAAGGGATAAATATGAATGAAAAAAAAACTTAATGACCAAATGTATATAGATCGAATAATATATTATCTTTTTAAATCAGTATCCTGGTTAATTTTTTTCTTATCAAACTACCATGACTTTGAATAAAATCTTATAATTGATTTAACTTTTGTAATGTAACATAATTATAAAATATTTCAAATTTTGATAAATATAGGTAAGTGCCCTATGATTTCATCAAAAACTCCTTATTTACAACACGTAGGAGCTACCAAAAAAAATATAGAGATATGAAAATATGTTTTGAGATATTAATCCATAAATTTAATAAATAATAAGATAGTACAACACATTAAAGTTGCAAACAAGCAAATACAATCATCTGAACCTTATAAGCCTACGTTTTTCCCTTTACAAACTTGTACAATTACCACAATCCAAAACCAACAAACCAAACCAATTTAAAACCATGCAAATCCAACCACTCTGTTTCGTTTTAACTTAAAACAACAACAGTTGTTTCTTCAAAAGTTAAAAACATATTTCATCAAAAACTTATGTCATCATCATCTCCACTGAAAACAAACCAACAAAAAATAACAATATAACAATCCATACACTACTTTCATCAAAAGAGAAATGGAAGACCCACATACAAAAAAAAAAAAAAAAAAAAAAAAAAAAAAAAAAAAAAAAGAAATTTACCTCGCAACAATCCCAAAATCTCCATAGTAGTAGTAGTAGTAGTATCTACACAAGTTTTTCACTTTGCTTTTGTGGAAAAGAACCTGCTGAATCCACGTCCATTGTTGTTCTTTTCAGGTGTGGGATTTGATGATGATGAAGAAGATGATCCGGATTTAGTTGGGCGATGTTTTGAGGTTCTTGAATTTATTGGTGATTTTAAAAGATTGTTTCCTTCAGAATCCCAAGGGTCTAAATGAGCTGGAGATGGAGACTCATTTCCAATATGATGAACTAAATTATTATTATTATTATTATTATTGTTCATTCCATTGCTAGTTGTTGTTACTTCTTCTTCTTCTTCTTCTTCTTCTTCATCTTCTTCTGTGAATGTTTGACTTTTTTGACTTGTCTCTCTTATTGGAGACCCCATGAATTCGGTTGTTGGAGGTCGCATGCCTTTTAATTGTTTTCCTAGGAGGAATATTGTTTCTTGACACTCTGCTAATTTCTCTGCAGCTGCTGCTAATTCTCTCTCCTGAAAATAGTTTTTTTTTAGAGGAAGTTACGGAAATGGTCCTTGTACTTTCTGGTTATTAACGTGTTTGATCCGATATTGAAAGCTTTTTCAGTTTTGGTGTTTATTTTGAGGTTTTGTAATTTTGTATCGATTTTGGTTTAGTCCTTGTTTTGACATTTTATATCGGATTTGGTACTTATTTCAAAGTTTCAGGGAGTAAATCGATAATGTACCTTGAAATAAGGACCAAAAGTGAAAAAAGGGTTTGATTTTGGTCATTTTTCAAGGTTCTGGGGACCAAAATCTTTATGAAACCTTAAAATAAGGACCACATTTGGAAAAGATTCTCTTTTGAAAAAAAAGGTCCCTGTACTTTGTGGTTTCTATCATGTTTAGTTCAAAGCTGAAACCTTTTTCACTTTTGGTCCTTACTTTAAGGTTTCATATCAATTTTAGTCCCTAATTTCAAGGTTTCATATCAAATTTGATCCTTTATTTCAAGGTTATGAATTGATTTTGCTCCTTCAAAGTTTCCAGGAACCAAAATCGATACAAAACTTTAAAACAAGGACCAGAAATGAAAAAGTTTTCAACTTTAGACTAAACACAGTAAAAATCAGAAAGCACAGGGACCAGTTTGGTAAATTACTCTACTTGACTACACAAACAGTGGTATAGTGAAACTGAAACTTGCAGGTCAGTCCAATTTCAGATTTTGTTACATAACTCATCCTTATTGTTTCGCTTTGTTTCAACTTTAGTCACTGGCTTATTATATTTATAATTTTTAAATGACCATTTTGCCCTTGGACCAAAACAAAGATTACAGATTTTACCTGGTTACTTTTACCATCCGTCTCAGCAACTGGAGGTGGGGTGTTTTCGGTTTCAATCCTAAAACATAAATTAAATGTTAGTATCAAGATTTAAAAATAAATATATAAATTAGAATTTAGAAAATATATTTATTTACCTTTGCAATTGTTCTAGAAGATCTTTGCACTTTTCCTCAGTCTCCTTATGATTCTTCTTCTCTTCTTCTAGCTGATTATCCAACACTGTAATCTTTTCTTCTAGAACATTCACCCGATTTTGCAACTCATTTGCACGAACTTCAAGCGAATTATAAGATTCAGCCATACACTTAAGCTGAGTCTCAAACAACCCGTTTGACTTTTGAGCATTGGTCAACTGAGATTTCACTTCACTCAAACTCAACTCAGTTTCACTCAACTGTAGCTTTGTATTTTCAAGATTCTCATTACATTTTTCAAGATCCATAAAAATCTTCTCTTTTTCCAACTTCAACTCTTCAAACTCCTCAAATGAACATTTCCATGGGGATACGGTTGTTTCAGAGGTAGGTACAGAGTTCTCATTTTCATGGGGTATGTCAGGGTCAGAAGTGGAATCTGAAAACTGAGTTGAATTTGAATAGTCAACTTTATTTTCAGGTAAAGCGATTTTGTCAATGCAATCTGGACTACCTGTTTCAGCATCATTCACAAAAGTAAAACGAAGCTCACCAGCTTTACCAAGAACACCAGAAAGAGAAACAACAAAATCTTGCAATTTTACTTTTTTGTCCTCAATCTCTTTGTAAATGACCGAAAACCCCTCGACCTTCTGCACAAACCCATTCTCTTCAACTCCCACCACAGATTTTGCTTCCTTTTCAACAGTCATTACAAAATTGTAAATCCCAGAAATCGCATCACCCAATTCTTGATCATCGTGTGAAATTACGTTTATACCCTTTGGATTTAATTCTTCGGTCTCTGGTGTTTCTTTACTCACTGAGTCGGTAGCTAGCTTTTCCATCTCCAAGAAATCATCCATGAGCTCCAAATTGTTTGCATTTTCAGATCTTTGAGGACTTTCAGGAATCTTATTATTATTATTATTATTATTATCTTTTTTATTATGAGTCAACTCAGAAATCAAAGCTGTAGCCCAAGAACCTGTGACACTAACTTCATCATCATTACCCTCTTCAGAAAAGGAAGCCACACTAGGGGCGTTACTTGCGTTTTGAATTTGACCAGAATACCCTTTGACTTGACTTTCAAGACTCTGAAGCTTACTAACTGTTTTAGCACAAATGTTTCTAGAAGCTTGTAGCTCAGTGTTACGTTTAGCTAAAGCTTCTTTCAACATCTTTGTTTCCTCTTCCATTCCTAGTATTCTCTCTGTTAACATTTCGTTTTCTTTTTTGTAATTTTGTAAACTGTCAAGGGTAAAATCGGGCAAAGAAGAAAAGCTTTGACTATGTTGACTATGTTGACTGTGTGGACTATGTGGGCTCGGGGGTTTGACCGGAGACCGTTTGACTCGTGACTCACCATAATCTCTCCCTAAACTATCAACTTCAAGTTTCATTTGAGCTAAAGCAGCGGGACCCGGTAATTTCTTTCTCACAAGTCCACGTAGACGTTGACACTCGGCTTCTAATTTAGCTATCTTTCTCACACCTTCTAAATGCTGTTTATTTGCCACGTCAGCAGACCTAACACTCATGTTTTTTTCCTCATTTCGAATCTCCAACTCTTTAGCAACAATATGTAATTCGTATTTCAAAGAATTGATTTCTCTTTCACATGATTCGATATCGGATTTTAACCTTTCGATTTCTGCTTCCTTTTCGGATTTTTCTTCACTCATTTTGATCAACATGTTTGAGCGTTCTTGTAAAGATCTTGAAATTGCAGCATTGTCAGCAGCTGATCGCATCAGTTCTTGATCAAGATTCGAGATTTTTGTATCGAATTCGAGTTTTAATTTGTCCCATTGTTTTGTTTTTGCAAGAACAACATCGTGGATGATTTGTTCGTGTTCTTCTTTCAGGTTTCTTATTTGCCTCATGCATTCCTTTAAAGCTCCATCTAAATGTGAGGCTCGATCTTCAGCAGTAAGTTTTAGTAAAGTTACTGATTCTAAATGGTTTTTTAGGGTTGCTGCTTCTGCTTCTGCTTTTTCCCAACCTATAAAAATTTTGCTTTTTAGAAAAAATAACTATTTTTATTACCCATAATAGTAAGAAAGTTACATTTTTTTAACAGATGATAGCAAGCAAGATAACAAGATTTTCTTTACCCATAATAGTAAGATTTTCTTTGTTGTAGAATGAATAAGTTTTATGCCATAATGTGATAGAATGAAAACATGAACATACCACAAACAGCTTCTTCAGCAACTTTTGCATGTTGTTTGACAAGATTCTCCTTTGTTGTCATTTCTGAATGGGCTTCAGAAAGCTGCTCATTCAATTCCTTGACTTCATCTTCTAAATTTTTAATTTGATCTTCATATACTAGTTGTTGATCTTCGTATCGTTTCACTTGTTCATCGTATGATTTCACTTGATCTTCATATGATTTCATTTGATCTTCATATGATTTGACTTGATCCTCCAATCCAGTTAAATGGGAATATGACTCCACAGAAATCTGGACATAGTTTGGCTTTTTGTAGCTATCTTGTTTCACCTGAAATGTGATGAGGATAATGTAAATAAAGAGATTTTAAAGATTTTATAAAGAATTATTAAAATGTTAGTGAATGTAGAAACCTTGTCACTTTGTGAGGCAGCTGAAGAAGGGACACCAGCAGATTCTGATACAACAACTGCTTTATCAGATGACTTTTTCTTCCATGGCCAACTCCGGCGATCCATGGTCTACTGTTACATGTGTACAAAAGAATAAAGAAAATCAAGTAACAATAATATAAAAGATGAATCCAAGATAAATATGAAGTTAAATGCTTCTTGATTATTCAACCATAAGTTTGCTTGCAGAGTAAGACTTATGTAACATGTTTCTTATAAAGAAATAATCAAATTGTCTTTAATGTAACAAAGAATATTGAAAACAAACCTGGAGGAAGAAAAGAAAAAAAAAAGTAAAAGAGTTTCTGGGTTTCTGGTTTCTGACCCTGC